CCGAAGGTAAGGCTGACCTACCTGACCAGTAATTAGCCGTTCATGAAGGGTCGTATGTGTTTGTTTCCATGATCCATGGGGTTTGTTGCATGTTTTTTCCCTGCGATGCTGTGAAGGCCGATACAGCAAAGGTGTTTGTTTGCAGCAAGCATTATTGTCGGGACAGCAGTACAAGAATTGGAGAATGGCGGACGTTGTCTTTTATCAGGAGTTCGTTCACATTTAGACACATCGCCGTGCTGCTTTGTTTGCCTAAATCCTCTAGATTACCGACAGGGCTAATGATTACAATATACAGGGAAAGAGACCTGCCTTATTGAGTCTGCATTCAGACTCGGGGATTGAGGGAAAAATCCTCATTTATAGTATTTATATGAACGCATAATGATAATTCATTATGATATAAATTGTGGTTATCTGTATATGAAATTACGAATGACAAATGTAGCAAAGCATTAAATTACTGATTATTTCTTTGCATTTTAACTTTGTGAACTATAAAATCATGTGCCTTCTCACAGTTTGTGTCATTTTGTGAGCTGATTGACAACAGTTGTTCGCTCCCCTCCTTCTCCCCTGCTCTGCTGGCCACGCCCACTCCTGCCCTTTGCTCGCGGTGCTCCACGCTCATTATGATGCATCTTTTGAAAAAATTCTGAGGTAGACCTGAACCAAAAGTGGGGGATGTCATGACCCTTTAACAGAAATAATGTACAGTATAGAATATAAAGTCATGCTGCAGTGGAAATAGAATGAATGCTGTGTATTGTGTAATGTCATCTGGAATCTGGAATTCTTGCAGGACTCCCAGAATTCATTAAGATTCTTTGATTCATCTTCAATGCCTCCTCCTTCATCTTACCACAGACATGCTCATTAATGTTCATGTCTGGTGACTGGGCTGGCCAATCCTGGAGCACCTTGACCTTCTTTGCTTTCAGGAGCTTTGATGTGGAGGCTGAGGTATGAGAAGGAGCGCTATCCTGCTGAAGAATTTGCCCTCTCCTGTGGTTTGTAATGTCATGGGCAGCACAAATGTCTTGACACTTCAGGCTGTTGATGTTGCCATCCACTCTGCAGATTTCTCACACACACCCCTATACTGCAAGTAACCCTAAACCATGATTTTTCCTTCACCAAACTTGACTGATTTCTATGAGAATCTTGTGGGTTCCAGTAGGTCTTCTGCTGTATTTGTGATGATTGGGATGCACTTCAACAGTTCATTAGTAAATCTGCTTTCTGCTACTTTTCCAGATGATCAACTAGAAGTCAGGTTATTTTTTGTTGCTCTTAAAACTGAGATCGATGACAAGACTTTTGTCAGGTAGTGTAAATATTTTTCCTTTTTTTTTTAAATTTAATTTAGATTATATAATTTCTGAATATAAACTACCGCCTGCCCAAACTGATGGAGTGTATTTGTGTCTTATTGTTGATTATTGTTGTAGAGGTATAGTGACAATAAATGAACATGTATGTTCATGTACTGTTTTTTTTTTTTGTTTTTTTTGTTAAAATAATCTGAATTCATAACAGAATAATCCTATTTACATTTTTTGTAAAATAATCAATCAGTCAATCAATCAATCAGTCAATCAATCAATCAATCAATCAATCAATCAATCAATCAATCAATCAATCAATCAATCAATCAATCAATCAATCAATCAGTCTGCAATCATCAGATGTCTCGTTTTGGCCCGGTTGTGAACTGGTGTACACTGATTGGCACACATACGCAATGAACAATGTGAGATTAAGAGTTTTAGTCTTGCCTGCATCATTTCCTGATTTTTTTCACGCTCGTGCCTCTTTTCCAACCCTCTGTCTGCTTAATCTATTACATGTATCAGATAAGACAATCCCAGAACGCGCTGCACATTTCAGTTTCACCCTTGGGTTCATTTCAGCGTGATACTTTGATAAAAGATTTAGAAACATGCTGACATCATACTCAATTACACCGCTCTTCAGTCGAGCGCAGCTTCACAAGCTCTTCAAGATAAAGAGGTCAAGATCTTTTTCCCAGGACTGGCACATTTGGCACAGATTCCTACTGAAGGCACTTGAATTTGGCAGGAATAAATGTCATTGATTGGGTGCAAAGCAAGACTATATACGTCTTTTAAGTTATTATTGCTTTTTTTATTAAATTACAAATATTTCATTATATTATGGCTACCCTTTAGATAATAATAATGGTTATAATAATAATAATATTATTATTATTATTATTATTATTATTATTATTATTATTATTATTATTATTATTATTATTAGTAGTAGTAGTAGTAGTAGTAGTAGTATTAAAGAGTATTATTATTATTATAGTTATTATTATTCTTAATATTATTATTATTATTAGAGAGTATTATTATTATTATTATTATTATTATTATCGATGTAATTATCAGTAATATCTTTGGTGTTATTATTAAAATTTTTCATTCATTCATTCATTTATTTTCGACTTAGTCCCTTTATTAATCAGTGGTCACCACAGAGGAATGAACCGCCAACTTATCCAGCACATGTTTTACGCAGCTGATGCCCTTCCAGCCATAACCCATCTCTGGGAAACACCCATACACTCTTTCACACATATAAACTACGGACAATTTTAGCTCACGCAATTCACCTGTACAGCATGTCTTTGGAGTGTGGGGGAATCCGGAGCTCACAGAGGAAACCCACGCGAACACAGGGAGAACATGCAAATTCCACACAGAAATGCCAACTGACCCCAGCTGATGCTCGAATCTAGTGACCTTCTTGCTGTGAGGCATTGTTATTATTATTATTAGTAGTAGTAGTAGTAGTAGTAGTAGTAGTATTGGTATTATTAGTTTTTATTATTATTATTATTATTATTATTATTATTATTATTATTTAATCTAGTTTGTATTTTTTTACATTTTTAAATGATTTACCTGAAATAAACATTATATCAAAGTTTGCAGATATCTAAATAACCCACATTTGGTAATTTCAGGTACAGTTTAGACATTAAAAAAGATTAAAAAAGAACCTCAAATATTAAAATAAAATATTTTGAAGATTATCTTGAAGATGTTTCTGGTTGATGATACCAATGGACTACCATCAGTGTCTCCCCGCAACCAGCATTCTTCGAAGTATCTTCTTTTGTGTTTAACAGAAGTACGAAACTCAAATAGGTGTTGAACAAGTAAAGGGCAAGTAAATGGCAGAATTATCATTTTTAAGTGTACTTTCCCTTTAAGATAAAACAAACATGCTAATAGTTAATGTTCTCCAAATGTTATAGACGTCCTCGTTTAGAACTGCTATTGAAATTACATGCAGGTGTTTTTGATTGGAGTCAGAAGTAAACTCAGCAGGAGAACGGTCTTTCGAGGGCCAGAGCTGAATAACACGCACTGTATACTGGAATCAGCTCTGAGTGTTAGTCAAGTGGCGTGAGCACTTGTGCTTTAGAGGGTTACTACCTGTGTAGACAACAATGAAACTTAAAAAGGGTTGTAACAAAGCCATTGTGTTCTTACAGCGTTCATTCTCAGGAAAAATGCTTTCTGCCTCTGTGGTGCAATTTTAAAGGTGCTAATTTTGTTTTGTTGCTCTCTTACAATAGATTTACGTCATTTCATTGTCAAGAAGCACTTAAATGTTCATTCATTCATTCATTCATTCATTTATTCATTCATTCATTCATTTGTTTATTTATTTACTTATTTGTTCATTTATTTATTTGCATGTTTATGTTTATTCATTTATTCATTCATTCATTTGTTTATTTATTCATTCATTTATTCATGAGTTTGTTTATTTATTAATTTATGTATTAATTCATTAATTAATTTATTTATTTATTTGTTCATTTATTTATTTATTTATTTATTCATTAATTAATTAATTTATTTATTTATTTATTTATTTATTTATTTATTTATTTATTTATTTATTTATTTATTTTATTCATTAGTAAATTGTTTTTTATTTTTTCATTAGTTTATGTATTTATTTATTCATTTATTTATTCATCTATTCCCTGATTATTTATTTATTATTCATGTATTCCTTTATTTATTTATTTATTTATTTATTTATTTATTTATTTATTTATTTATTTCTGTGTTACTTAGTTTATTTATTTATTTATTCATGCATTTCTTAGTTTATTTATTTATTTATTTATTTATTAGTTTATTATTTTTTTATTATATTTTCTTAGTTAGTTAGTTTGTTTCATAATATCAATTATAAAACAACATTAGCTCTTTTTTATTAGTGTCTGAAACAGTTGATTCTATGATAAACGCTGCCTTTTGCTTAGCTATTTTTCCCAGCCTGCTGTGATTGGTTGAAACCAAGCATCCCATGCCATCTCTTCCTCAGCACTTTTAATGATGCCATTGGTTTTGCCATATCAAAGTGATTGCGAACCCGTATGCTTTAGAAGTGGAATTCAGGATTAAACTCAATATTTTAAACATATTTATCAATATAGAATCAGAAACAGGAAGAGCTTTAATGTGCATATATGTTTAGGAATTTGTTTTCATGACAGAAGATTCAAAGAGTGTAACAACAAAATGACAGTGACAGGACGAGACAAACGGATAGATCGATAGATAGAACGATAGATAGAACGATGGATGGATGGATAGATGGATGGATGGATGGATGGATGGATGGATGGATGGATGGATGGATAGATAAATAGAGGGATGGACAGACAGAGATAGATAGATGGGATGGATGGATGGATAGGTGGGTAGAAAGGTTAGGGTGGATGAATATAGAGATGAATGGATGCATTTCAATATCATCTGTACATTGTACATTAGAAATATAGAGCCATTATACATTTACAGGGCTTC